TTTCTCGAATACGATAAGGACACAATGACAAAATTTAAATATCCCCGATAAATAAATACATTTTTTCCGCATAATTTACATAAATGAGTTCAGACGTGTTTTAATTTTTTTGATAGCTCCAAATGAATCATTCCGCTTAATATCATCGTATGCCTTGCGCGTTATCACAGCTAAATAAAAGATTCTTATCGCGCTCGCTCCCCTCTTATTTCGATGAGACTCTAGCGTGTACTCAAACGCGATAGTTTAGAAGAAGAAATCTGAGCTTATACCGATTAAAAAGTTTAGAGGGGACACGGGGGATAACCTTGATGCCGCGTTAAAGCGACAGTTTGACAAAGAAGAATATGAGACACACGGCTTATTCAAAATTTTAAGTTTATACAACTGCTAAAATTATATCAAATATAATGCGCCAAATTGCAGTTGTATGTCAATCAACGACAATATACAATGCAATAAACGATTCTTAATCTCCGTTTAATTAACCAATGTCAAATCATCATTTCGCTCTGTCTCTCTCTCTCTCTTTCTCTCTCTGTTCTTCATTCTCTCATAATGCAATTCAGACTGTGAGCTCTAGGAAGCTTCAAAAGTAAATTTCATTAAAGCAGCAGTGGGTACTTCCCTTTAACGTCGTTAGCTAAGAGAAATAAGAAATAAAAGAGCTCGAAAAAGACGAGACGAGACGGGTCAAATCAACGTCGAGGATTTAGAGATTAACGGCGTTAATATTTACAGACATTGACGCTGTAGTACGATGAAAAGGCTGGAGAGATAAGGGAGAAAAGGCGAGAGTAGGATAGAGAGAGAGAGAGAGAGAGAGAGAGAGAGAGAGAAGGCAGATTCTATGGATGGATAATGGGTGGCACAAAAAGATCAATAAATGTATGCACGTCCGCGCGAGTTATAAATTCGAATAAATACGCCGGTGAAGAAACTTTTTCCATCAACACGATTAATTTTGTTTTTATTCCATTCGCTCTCTCTATTACTTTTCGTATTTCAATCAAAAAGTCGTAGCTCCATAATAATATCCAGCATAGTTTAAAGTAATAAAGTCAAGCAAAAAAAGATTCAATTTGAAATGCACGCATAATTAAAACTCGAACGCGCCTATTATTAATTCAACGCGCTTGAAAAATATTTGTCATATAATTAAGCTATATATATATATGACAAATATTTTTCAAGCGCGTTTAATTAATAATAGGCGTATATACATTTAACAAGCGCGATCACATTTTGGGAAAATATTTTTCCACAACGAAAAAAACATTTTACACTGTTTCCTTTATGTAAATAATGTATTTATGACACCTGTCCCATTTTCGATCGGCTAAATTTGATTCGTCCTGTATAATTCCGGCCTGCACACACACGCACACACATACATACCCGCGCGCGCACGCACACTGTCGTGCCCGCGCACGCACGATCCTGATGATTTCACACAGAGATACAGGCGTGTAAACACGTCGGATATGCGACTCCACGTAATAGGCTATGTATGCACGCACGATTACTGGATAAATTAATATTAAAAAAAATACTTGGAAAATAGCAAGATAAAAAGAACTCGTCTACGTGCTCCGCCTTCGCACTATGTAATAGGAATAATAGTTTCAATATGCAAGTAAATATATGTATACAATCGTGTATGCGTCTGTATGTATGATGTGTCATGATTATAAACTTAAGTGGAATTCGCAATTTTCTGATAAAGACGAGATATTGTCATGTCACTAGATATATTGCGCAATGAATACAATATCCAATTTCACATTATAATTTTAATTAGCAAAGAATTTATTATTCTGGTAAAAAACCAATTTATGAATAAATGTAAACGTTATATTTGTATTATTTAAATAATGATGACGTTAAAATAGAGAGGTAATAAAATTTAATATTTCATCATGATACGTGATATGGAGAACATACAAGATTATATAAAAATTAAAAAAAAAAAAAAAAAATCCAGAAAATCGCATATTAACATGTCAACAAACGTAAAAAGTCATGCTTTTTTCGAACGATTAGCATAACAAATATCAAACTCGCATTCAAAACGTCGCACTTAATGTCTCCGTTTACGTGCTATGAAATGCGATATTCGAACGTCAATGTTATGATATCGCTTCAGTTTGGTATTCGATACAATTTCAAAAACAAAATCCACGTCACGCGATTAAAGTAGCGTTAAGTAACCTTGCGCGTAAATAAAGCACGAGAAAACACTGGACGACTTTATTACTCCCGAAGAGAATAGCCGCGTTATCGCGAATTTTAAAATATGTTTTCTATCCCGTGAGTATATATAATAATATAAATCGATTGTACGCGGATATATTTCTCGTCGTCGATCATCCGGAAAACCGTACGTTTTTATCGCGACGCGTAAATACGCCAATGTCACCATTCGTCGTCAAAGCGCATAAAGTATCGAAAATTTGGTCTTTTCATTAAATAAAATACTAAATTATTACATTTTTTTACCGCGCGCAAGAAAAAAAAAAGAAAAAAAAATACAAATTTATTTTCCATATATTACTTTTACGTTTTGCTTACGGAGCGATGCAGCTCGCGTTAGCAAATACGTGACATTATAAATGCAGCTCTGTATGACCTTCCTCGCGACATTTTATTTCATCTCGCAATCCTTTCGCGAGTTAAACGTAAAAATAATTAAAGAGTAGCCTGAGAGAGAAAGAGAGAAAGAGAGAAAACGCACGCGAATAAAATCCTATTCTGTACGCTCTTATTCGATTTTCCCGAAAAGTTTGTTCACATAGCACGAAGAGAATCCGCGCAAATTAGACGCGCCGATATAAATCACTACCATTGTTTTCGACGCGCGAATTTTATTTCCGCGCACGATTCGTTTGTAGCTCCGATCGCGCAAAAGCGAGCGAAAGCAAGGACGACTTGAATCGCAGCGGTCGTCTTCCACCTTGGAATTTGATTTCGTCGTAGAATTTGCCCGCGAGAGACGATTTTAGGCCGGCACTGTTCCATTGTTCGCGCGCGAGTAAAACATGCGAGTATCAGCGATAAATATAGAAAAGTCATAAAAAGAAAACATGAGACAATGTTTTGCATAATATAACGTGTTGAGTCATTTATCTCGACAAATTGAATAATATTTTATGCGCACAGGGCAATTCAATTTTTTAATTTAAATTTCACGCAATGTGCATCCACTCTCTCTTCCTCCTATTTTAGTTTCCAAGATCGAATCAAAATTTTTTTTTTCCCGTCTCACTCTCGCGATAAGATGTGACGAAATTAAATACAAATCGTCGATAAAATAATTATTCGTTGTAATACGCACGATTCAGCGTTTATCGATTTAATTCTGAAACGTATACTTTCAATTCGTCCGCTAGAACGAGCAGCGGGTGGGGAACGGATTGGGGAGTCGGAGGTGGTCGACGGAAGGGAACGAGGGAAGGGGGGCGAAAAGAGTTGAAGCAGAGCATCATGCACGGGGAGAACGTGCCGAAAAAACTGCATCCTCCCCCTCCCCCCACCCTCGAAAAGTCGTCACGCACGCGCGCGGTATATTTATCCGTTTACATATATATATATATATATATATATATATATATATATTGTCAATGACTCGGCGTGTATTGCAAATAAATATAGCCGCATTTTAACGATATTCCGGTATTGTGTGTAGATAAATAGCACGTACGATCGACGAAACGGCTAAGAAAAATGCGATGACAATAACACTCATCGTATCAAATCAACTTTCTTCGCGGACTGTACATGCTTTTTTCGATAAAGCACTGCGAAAATATTTCCTTTTTATTTTTTTCCATCCTCCATTTTCCAGCCGCGATTTTATTAGCGATTAGATGATCTTTAGAGGCTTCGAAATTGCATACAATGCACAAAAACACTACGATGTAATAACAAAACGGTAACTGTTTATCGATTCGATTCTTGGATGTGTGTGACGGACAATGTCGCTTTCCTCTATCGTCTTTTTTTTTTTCTCCTCATTCTTACATCGCGCTGCATTTGTCGCGGTGCGAGTGAGATGCAAGATACACCATTCGAAAATCCGATTCGCAGCGAAAGAGATAAGGATCTCAAAACAATGCAATTTCGTATTAAATAGTCGTTAGGACAATGCGAGTCGCGAGTTGGCTGCGTTAAATCGGGTTAAGGCACATCTATAAATACCTCACTAACTGAGAGTGAGAGGGAAAGA